ACATATGGGGACAGTATGTGCGAAATCCAACTCCGTCCATACAGAACCAAGTTGAACTCATTGTCCACCACCATTTAAAAAGGAAGAGAAACAAGGAGAATATGTGATGAGGGTAGAATCTAATGTCCCTGTTCTATTCTCACAGATATTGATTCAGTGCTTAAGAGTAAATTATCATAAGAATATCGCATTTGAGTGTGTGGACATACAAAGAAGGTACAGAACGAATATAGACAAGCAAGTACACGGATGCAAGATATAGATGCATCCTTCTAAGTAATTAAAAATCAATATACACCTGCCCATGTTTTTAAAAAATAAATAAATTAACTCAGTATACAAGACTCTCGCTACTATCAGATCTAGAGAAGATCAAATGTAGGCAATCTTACCTCGCGTGCGTGGAGAGACCGTCTACAAAAGTATAAATCAAAAGCTGAAGAAGGAAAGATGCAACAAAACACCAATGGTTAATTATTACATGTCAATGTTACCATATGTGCATGTGCATAACCACAAACTGATGCAATGCTGAGTAGGTTGAGTTAATTATAGGAATCAAGCATAACAATAGAAATAAAGTGGACTTCGGAGCTTAAATGTTCACCTCATAACCTCGTGAGTTAAGGCACAATAATCAGGAAAATTAAGCACCTCAAAGCATATTTGTTAGGCCAGCACGAGACCTTACCTCGTTTCCATTCTGCTCCTTTTACCATCTTTCTGGCGGCAATGGGTGGGGGTGTTGTCTGGTTGAATATGGGAGTCTGAGGTGATCAACTCACTACTGCATAAGTGATAAGAAAAAGAGAAAAATTATGAGGTACAAGAAGAAGGTAAACCTCTCAGAAACTGGAAATATGATCATCACAATTTACATATATCATAACAAGCGTATGAATTTCCATCCAAAATAACATTACCCTACGGAGTGAAGTAGGCACCTAAAAAGCAGTCATGCTGCAGTAATATATTACAGATGTTGTTTGCTGCCTCTTTTACCATAAAAATCCTTTCTTTCAAAACTGTGCAAATAGTCACCACGTGAGTCGTTTCTTAGACAACCATCTCTTTCTGAACTAATGCCACAACTACTAAATAAGTTCCTCATCATATATGAAACATTTAAACTATTTGAATCAAACTATAAAAGACAAAGAAGAAAGTGAGAAGGAAATGCCCCTCTCCTAGCGTTCAGCTCACCAATTTTGAACAGTCACTGGTGCTGCAAATAAATTACTTTATCCACATATTGGTTTCCATAGAGGGAAGATCAATAGTCACAGTTAGTTTGACCCAATACTAGTGAAAATAACATAAAAACTTTAAAAAAAAAAAGGGGGGGGGGGGGGATTTTTT